TTATAAGGAACATGTGTCCTTTTTTAATTGTTCGATCCATTTTGTCAAATCAGTTATAGATTGATTGATTGATATTCTGCCTGTATTATTTTAAGTTTTAAAATGTTACAAGTTTCACCACGTTCAATATTCCATAATAATTTTGAACAATTTTCGCCGAGTTTTTTCAGTCTCTCATCGTGTTACAAAATTTTGTAAATTTTACTACATTTACAAGCCGGAGAGACAATTACGCTGTATTTATAACAGATGCGGTGAATAAACTACGAAACACATATAAAACATATAAAACATATTCTCCTGTTTAATTCGTTAAATAATTGTTGTATATTGTCATATACAATATATTATATTGTCATATTGTCCCAAATGCCACAAGAAAAATGTAATTTTAACTTGTAAAATGTATTGCACAAAAGATATCGTTTCGCTCCCTGCTATTCCGTTCTCCGGCAACAAGACGTGATCGCAATTAAGGAACATACCGTACAAAAAGAAAGTAAATTCTCCTTAGAGAAGTATAGAAGATTCCAATGCTGGCGATGTTCCAGTTTTTAGAAATTAGTAACGGCCCGGAAACACTTGGAACTAGATATAGTGGCCGGAAGTGTAGACAACAACGGATAATAATGGCCAAGTTGGTTACGTCGTGGTTTCGCGGACGCGCCGCAAGAAGCGCAGTCCTCGTTCTCCAGGCTTTAGAAAAAGGTCAGCATCCTTGATCATGATGAAAGTTCCGCCGTCGGCAAGTTCCGGAAAGAAATAACGTATATATGATTGTGCTCGCAGCTTGATCTCTATAGAAGACGCGCATTCGCTACCATATTGCCGTCAGAAGCAGAAAACTGCAATTGGCGTAACGCAACTTTTATTGGGACCGCCGGACCCCTCTCCTTCCCCCCCGGAATCGTACACTTAATCGATCGGTTAACTTCGAGGGGTGAACCGCTGACCAAAATCGTGTGTACACCAATGCCTGCACTGAAAAAAATTTCTGGTTGAATATGGACGAATCAGATAATTCCTTTAGGATTTACCAGAATTCCTTTAGGATTTACCAGAATTCCTGTAATCCTACAGAAATTCTGGTAAATCCTAAAGGAATTATCTGATTCGTCCATATTCAACCAGAAATTTTTTTCAGTGTGCCAATGCCCAGTGGACATTACTTTATCTTATTATCTTTTTTATCTTTTTAGATTCTTTGTAACATCCCAGCAAGGCCAAATAACAGCCACTAATGCCCAAAAATGCCTAGTAATGCCCAAAATCTGTAAACCACTCCGGGAGGAAAAAAGACAGCAACCCAATTTGGGGCCCACAATTAGTAATCGAATCATTTTGATTGCTCGTGACTCTAATCTTTTGCGAATTTCACCCCGCGTAACTAAAAATCGCAATTAGCTATTCCATCTGTATCCAAGATTTTAAAGTAATGCTAATCGATTCTCTCAATTATAAGTTCCGTCGATATTCAGTAACGCAAAGATAATTTTCACTTAATAGGCACTAACCGAAACGTTAAGTTGCTTAACTAAAAAAAAGAAACGGTCCAAATTTTTCCCAGAGTAGAGTTGCGAACAATCTAAATCATTCGATTACTAATTGTGGACCCCAAAATGGGTTGCTGTCTTTTTTCCCAAAGCACAATGCCGTCAGCGGTTTAGAAAAAGTTTACCCCTCGGTGAACTTTTTCTCACGAAAGTTTCAAGGCTAATGAAATTTCCCTTATTTATCGCGAGCTTTCGTCGGCTTATTCCTCGATACGTGAAATTCTTGAAAGAATGGCATATTAATACAGAACACATGCAACAATGCCAATTTTTACGTTCCCTATCTTTTTCATTTTGAAAAAGGCTACTCAAAAGGCCCGCTGGTTACAGTGAGAAAAATATTCTCCCCGATGTTCGGCGATCGCCGCAGGCCGTTCGACTCGGTGCCGGCCGCGCGAGGAATGCTGAAAGCCTCCCCCCCCCCCCCTCCCGACGGGATCGCTCCGTTTCTCGGATTGTAAATCGGTTGAAGGGCGCAATTAACGCCGGCCGCAATAATCGGCGGTGCCGTCAACCGCGAGAGTTACGTCGCATCGGCAAAAATACGTAAACGGCTCGCCGCGCGAGAAAGGAAGCCCATTAGCGCCCGTGCGAGAACGAAGTGGTCGTTCATTCATGAACTCGGGGGCGGCCATGGCGTCGCGGCCGCCGCTACGCTGTGTACTACGTTTCTCCACTAGTATTATCGCTACCACCACCACCACCACCACCACCACCGCCGTCGTGCTCGCTATTACCCTCGTTCTACTACGCCACTACCACTTTTACACATCGCCAACGCCACCGCCATCACCACCACCACCACCACCATCACCACCACCACCGGCACTGCCGCCCACGGTGCGCCAACGTCGGTTACGCGTCCTACCACAAACCAGGTACCGGCACCGGCGTCGTCGCCGCCGCGGCGTGCCGGGAATCGCGTTCCTGGCGTTCTTACGCGAGGAGCTCCAGATACCCCCGATGCGACAGCCACCCTTTTAGCCGATGCACTTCTATTGCCGAACGCCTTGACATTGAGAGCGCCGACACGAATGCCCCGCCGCGACCGTCGGTTCACGGGCCGTATGTCGGAAATGTTAAGCGAATCCGTCGAATGGATCGTCGAATGCCCGGATCCTCCAACATGCCTAAGAACCGTCCGAGCTGGATGACGCGCGTTCGGAGATTATTCGTATTGTCCACTGGGACGTTTGATATCCGGCGTAAAACGTTGGTGACCAAGTCTCTACCCATTTTCTTTCTCGCTTTCGAATTTCGCTGCATGTATTTGCCAATTTGTTATTAAAGTGTTATTCCAATTTCCAACTTTTGCAAGCAGGACATTGCACGGGCTAACGCTTACTTCTGACCGTCCTTCTCGATACAGTTTGCACATTCTCCTTTATCGGCCTTCTGATTATCTTAAAGTATAATTGATTACGAATAAGAATCAAAATGTAGTTACTTTCATAATTGAAAAATCTTTTGCTCTGGATTTCGCCACGTCTCAGACTCTGTGATCTTCTCGGTCACAGGCCTGTCTCGAATTGAAAATCTGCCAATCGAGTTCTAGCTCCAATAATAAAACAGTTACCTCATTTTCTTTCATTTTTACAAAAATAATTGGAACCGTTCTGTATTCCGATTAATTTCGCGCGGAATTAATAATAATTGTTGTTGCCAGATCAAGCATTGTGTATGAATGAATAAATCACGAAAATCATTTATATCAATTATCGCAATCACGACAGCAAACACGTTAATAGCTTGAGGTTATTTCCCATGTTGAGCCAAATTCACGCTAATTAGGAGCTTCCTTTCCAGGGAAAGGCAGGAAATCAGCTCTCAATTTTGATAATGGACCTGAAATTTGCAGAAGGGATAACGATACCGGCAATTACTTTAATTTCATAACTCTCTCTCTCGCTCCCACATTGAAGCGTAAAACGTGAGTGTGGTAACTCTTTTTTTCCTTTGAAAATGCAATTAAGAATATTTAATCGCGACGAGAACGTACTCGTCATTTTCAATTCGCGTTCGTTCTTTTGATCGAGTGACAATGATTTTTATAATTCGCAACGCAAACGTGAAATAAAATAAAATTGCTTTTCGAGATGAAACTTTCGTAAAAACCCAATCAATATTAAAATAATACATGATGAAGGAAAATGGTAAAAGAAAAATAAAGAGGAACAAAAGAAAAAAAATTGTGGGCAATGTGAGCCGTCACGAGATCGAAGGTGATAAATTAACTACATAAGTTTTTGTATAAATGTGTATTAGAAAGTATTTCGAAGAGCATGTACGTCTCGGATGTGACCATCTTCAGCAATAAATGAGTAAAAAACAAATGGGTCCTAACATATTATACGAAGTTATGAGTCGTTCGTAGAAACGTTCATTAGTGTATCTTTTTACCTCGATAGACGGTTAAACGATACAAGTGACGAAGACGAAGGTCTGTTTTACAAGTTTGTCAACATCTCAAGAAGCGCGATTAAACTTTCTTGGCTCTTACGAAAATCAATCAAAAACATTACCGTCGCTTTCTCGGCGTCGCTTTCGGTTATCCCGACGGCTTTAAGGTCAACGCGCATACTATGGTCCTTGACACTGAAACAACACGAAACTTCGGCAACTTGTGGGCAAGTTCGCGAGATTTCCATACGTTATTCTGGAACGAGGGGAATGTATCCAATTAAACGAACGAAACTTTGACTGTTCCAGCTTGCAAACTGTTTTCGTTCGCGTTTCCTTCGTAAAACGTTAGGGAGTTATATAATCAAATGGTGGAAACAAACGTTGAACTTTTATTAAAAGTGCCAGTCGTTGACGAGAGCGTATAATAAGATACATCAGCGAGTGACAAGCGAATGACAGCCGATACTCATTTTTGTACAATGCAATTATATATTTCTTCGTGGCAACGAGATACCGTCAGATTTCAATTAAGGTGCAGAACTATGGTACGAACAATTATTTAAACAATAAGAGTCGGCATAATTCACTGGCGATTATATTATTTCACGAATATACCCTCGCTGTTAAGTTTAGCTGTTAAGTTTGACCGTCACGATTCTCATGTCGATATCAAAACTGTCACTCGCTGCCTCTGAATTAACGTTCGACAAAAGCGTACCCATGTTAAAAGGTAAATCGACATTCTTTAAAGTCGATTGCTCATTGTTACATCTACGGTCTTGAGAGCTAGCTACACTAACATTCAATTCGATTCAGCGCCGACCCTCGCGGCGAGCGGTTGATAAAAGCGGCTTTCGCGGTCCGTTGTTCCGGATGAAAACTCGCGATCCGTGACGTCCGAGCCCGGCGACGATGCTGAAAATTGCCGATCTACTTGCTGTGAAAACGCACGAAACTGACCGGTCCTATTATCAGTGGTGACGATAATGAGGACGTTGACGGCGGTGGCGGCGCGAAGAACAGAAGTTACAAAAGTATTCTCACCCCCGAAGCAAGCAACTCTCTCGCCGCTTCCGCCGGAGCCTCGGACCGTAAACACACGTCGGTGGCTGATCGCGTACTGAAGTTTCCACCGACGGTGGATTCAGCATCCAGCATCCCCCGACCGGGTTGAGAGAGCGAGAGACACAGAGAGGGGGGAGGAGGGAGAGAGAAAGATAGAGAATCCCGCCGCACACCGGTGTTCGACCCCACCGCCCCACTCGCCACCTACCACCGACGCGGACACCCTTTAACCCTCCTCCGTTCGGCACCCTCCGTTCTCCAAGCCATCACTCGAAACCGTCACCGTCACTCTGCACGAACCACCACCGGCCCCGTGCACAACCCCTCCACCGTAACACCTGGACGCGGGGGAAGGACGCGCGAAAATAGGCTATACTTGGCATCTCACATTATTAACCCAGAGAACGATCGCAGTTGAACTTGTCCGGTTATTTTGTCCCCGAGGGGCAAACCACTGAGGGCATTGTGGTGGACAGATTTGCGGCATTACTGGGCACTACTAGGTATTACTGGGCATTTTTTGGGGCATTAGGCCTTGCTGGCGCATTATAAAGATAAAATAAGACAAAACAAAATAAGATAAAACGAGATAAATAAGATAAAATAAGATGATAAGATAAAGTAATGCCCACTGAGCATTAGTACAACATTTCGGTCAGCGGTTTCCCCCTCGTTTTTTTCCCCCTCGGTGTATCTGGATGTAAATGTAGATTCACACGCTCGCTTTGTGAAATCAATCGAAATAATTGCGGCATTGAAATAAATGAAGCTATGGCTCTTCAACGTCGAAACAGATATCCGTGTCATAAAAATAGCAGAAGCTTCAACTGCTTTTCCAGCAAATGTCACAAATCATTAGAATTGACTACATAACTGTTTAATTAAAAGAGTATCAAATAATTATACACGTATCTGTGAACGCAATTCTTTTAGAGTGCCGTATCCATAAAATAAAATATAAAAAGAGACGGAGGGAGACACGTTTTTCAACGTCAATCAACTTTTCACACAAACGTATTTTAATGTTCACCTACTTTGGATTCTGATTATTGGCCTGATTATTTTTAAGGTAATTAACTGGTCTAGGATTTATTTTCAATTTGTTATATTATGTATCCGCTGTGACAAACCGCATCGTACTCATTATTTGTGATCTTGCTTTATTTTACATATTATTATTGTACACATTTGGATTGTCTATTGATTCAATTTGTGTTATTAATTTAATTTGTACCTTCGATAAGCCTGTAATCCCGATTATCGGTTTGTTCCTTTTAGAATGTGCTAATTGAGAAGGATCCAAACCCTTGGTCGAAACGTCGCACTATATTTTTTATTTTATTTAATTAAACACGTGCCAGGTCGACTAAACTTATTCAGTGTTATTTTAATGTTGGCCACAAGTAAAAGAAATTAACAGCTAGAAGTGGCGTGAAATATATTAAGACATAAAACCGGGCTCTTCACCGCATCGGTCAATTTCGCCAAAAGCCATCCGAGAAGCCAAAAGATAGAAATAGAGAGTGATCTCACTCTAGATCCTAAACTGCGGATAGCACTAAACACTTTTCTCCCATAGCTCCGCTGGCTCCAAACCCACCTTCGGTCTTACGAGTATTTTCGTTCTGATAAAAGTAATCGTTTGGCCGGCAAACGCCCGCCGACGTGCCGACAAAAAGTCGGCGGAACTCTCCAAAAGTTTTCTACCTTCGTTCAGCGATATATTTCATTGTCGGCGGCCATATAAATTCCAAGAGATTTCGCGCGATGTAAGATTTAGCTTGTGATTTAGGAAACGTTCCGGGCGCGCGGCAGCTTTCAGGAGAGATCAAATCCCCAGGAATCAACGGTTCTCGGACTTTGAGGATCCCGAAAGTCCCTCGCGATTTAGAAAAGTTTTCGAGAGCTGCCGAAAGTTTTTGTATCACTTACTCTCTCTCTCGTTCTCTCGGGACTCCCGGTGCCCCACCGCGTATTGCCTTAACTCTCTTTCGCAAATGCATGTCACGTACGTTCGTATGAATATCGGGCCGACATAATATAGTCCCGTATTGGGGTAACATAAGAGACATGTAAGAGCAGGCATTGTGCCGGAAGACTGCACGACACTGCAACACATACGCATATGTTTAGCAACTGGCACACATCTCAGCTTCCATTCAGAATTTAACAGAAATATTGGCTCAGATGTACGTTTACTTTTTTTCTTCTTGCAAACAAAGTAATCCTGTGCAGAATCCAGGGATCTTGATGAAAAATGCATACCGCAAAATGCAAGTATGTCCAACGGTTTCATGGATTGTAATATAAAATCCTGAAAGCTATAACAGTTTATTGTATTAATTTTGTTCGCGTTACCGATAACACTTTTATTTCAGTTAATTGATTTCTATTAATACGAAAGATTAAAGTAACGATAATAGGCGAGACTTTATCACACAACTCGCTCGTGCCTACAAAATATTACAATATAGAAGAATTGTCACGTTAAATATTAATAGTTTTCAGAAATTCACAGAATCCTGACTGAGGTAATATTTTTCGCAATAAGAATAAATTACAGTGCGGGGAAGAGGGGATTGAATGCTAAATATAGCATCTAAAAATGCCAAATTGTAGCACTTTTAAATATATTTACAAATCGTTTATCGATTTGAATGTGTGAATTCGCTGACGATAATAAGAAAATTGCGTTATGTCCGAAAAGAAACCGGCGCGCAGGACAAATGTGGAAAAAGAACCGGTATATGAACGGTATATTCACACTTTATTAAAAATTATAAGTATAGCCAATCTACATCCTGCCGTGACTCGCATTGGCCATTCTTGTTTCTTGTTTATTAATAGCTTTATTACTTGTTTCATAATTTTTATTTGTTTTGAAAGCAGCTCGTACATGAAACAAAAATGTTTGCAATATTTAATCGATTAAAATTTTAAAATAACAGTTATCAACTCAACCCTTTATCAAATATTGAAAAAACTACCTCGCTTTTCGATAAATAAACACGCCTAAAAGCTTCGACGTGTGTTTCTATTTGTCCTTTTGCTTTGTAAACTCGAGTAGCGTGAACGTACAATATGTGAAAATATGTATAAATCGGGAGTGGCATTAGTATAAGCTCGTAAATCATGTCGAGTGGGATAAGTTAGATGCATAAGGGAGAAAGTTCTCGCGACAAGCACGAGAAGCTTTGTTGATAAATCCGTGGATCATCAAATGGTTAAACTTCTCGTATGCACGAAACTCTTACGTTATGTTAAGATACTTCAAAATAAATACTAATACTCAACTGAGCTAAAATCGAGCATAATTGGTTATAATATGTATATACACTACATATTTCCATATCTATTGGATTTACTGGCAAATATGCATATGATACTTTTTTAATGCAGAGGACATTTATATACTTAAACTATGTGAAAAATTATCTAGCGCGTATAATTCGGCTCGATCTCTGTCATTTACGACGTTGAATCATTTTTATTTTTAAAAAAACTTACAGCGAAATCCAACTATAAAGCTGCTACAAAGCACATTGTCACATGCATGTTGTTGCTTTCTTTCTCGATAACGTATTTTACCACTGTGAAAACAACTACTCTTTTGCTAAACGCTACTTTCCTAAACCATTCCGAAAGTAAAACCTAGATCATATTAAAGTAGAATGAAAATAAAGTATCTTTTCATTTCTAATTAACAAAACAGCTTGAGCTCGTAAGTGTTTAATTAATCCAAATACACCTCTACATCGAGACATATTTAGACATTACAGTATTATTAAATATTCTATCGAATCAATTAAACACTATTAAATCAAATGAATTTGAGGAAAAGGAGAGCTATTATACGGATTTAATTTTGAATCCAATAATGATCTACAATTCCGTCAGAATTCAGGATAGAAATTTAATTACAATTTTATTTACAATTTTGTCGTGTATATTGATGAATATAGATACTTTAATATGTACATATATTGTGTGTGTGTGTGTGTGTAAATATATATTCTAACTTTTCCGTTTATAACACAACACTATAAACAGAATTTTATTCCAAATTTCGAGGCGAATTATGAAATATCTAAAGTGGACTTTAAACCTGCGGATCAACTAGAATTAAACTTTCATTTTATTTATAATATAATATACGAAACATTAAAATAATCAGAAATTTACTCATATAGAGTATTAAAATACATACGTATATCAAAATACACGACACATAGCATTATATAATAAGTAGATGGAATTCTATCGTGAAATCTGATGCAAGTTACGGGACAGCTAAAAGCATTGTATAATATATTTTAGAATAAAGGGCATTCTTATGTGGAACATTAGAAAAATATTATTACATAGACGGTATGGTGTAAACAACGTATATGTATTTTATTTCAGATAAATATCTCAACATTGAACATTGACTAATGTATATGTATAAGTACATCGTTTACTCGTTTACGTCGCAGTGGTAGTCCGATATTCGTTAATATGTTATATATATATTTATATTTATATATATATTTATATATTTCTCTACCTATCGCTGGTCTACGGGTTTTGTTATAAACTATATGATCGCTTAATATCGATTATACGCAGTAATGATTTTTATCTCTTACGTAATATTTTTATCATCCCTGTATGCATTTATTTTACTCGCGATAATCTGCCTCTTATCTATCGTCGTGGATCGTCGTTGTAATCGCGTCGACGATCGTTACGTCGTACATGTAACGTTTACCTACTAATTAACTATTTTTATCACAATTACGGTATTATTATTTAAAGCCGTTAGAGCGCCGGGCGAACTTTGTCGGAACACTTTGATGATCCGTTTGTTTCTGTACGAGAATAATTATTATTGAAGTAACCGTACTCGCGTCTAACGGACGTTCTCCCTCACGAAATTTACTTCCGATTATCCTCAACGAAAGTTTTATCGCGGAATTATTTAGTGAACCGTTAACGATTGAATTAAATTTTCTTTATTAAGTATTAAACATAACAATAATGAAACATTTATCTTC